AGCATGCCCAACGATTGGAATTTAAGTGTGCTCTGCCCAATCCTCAAAAAAGGAGACCCCACAATCTGCGCCAACTACCGTGGGATAAGCCTCCTCAACATCGCRTATAAAGTTCTATCGAGCGTATTGTGTGAAGGATTAAAGCCCACCGACAACAAACTGATCGGGGCTTATCAGTGTGGCTTTAGACCTGGCAAATCAACAACCGACCAGATATTCACCATGCGCCCAATTTTGAAAAAGACCCGTGAAAGGAGAATCGACACACACCACCTCTTGGTCGATTTCAAAGCTGCTTCTGCAGCGATATGGTTGTGTAAGCTGACGTTGAGCAATACCAAAAGTTCCGTCGAAATTGGGAACGACCTTTTCGAGTCATTCGATACCAAACGAGGTTTCACACATGGAGAGTCTCTATCGGGCGATTTCTTCATTCTACTCTTGGGGAAAATAATTCGAGCCGCAGATCTTAATAGAGACAGTACAATCTTCTATAATACGCTTCAAAAATATTAGGTTGTCAAAAAAGTCTAGCGGCATTTTCGCTAGTTGGCGCTGAGAGCGCGTAGTTCTAGTTTATTCGTCGCATCGGGTCATGCTATACCTTCCTGGAAAGCTCATTTCACGCGCTAACAGGTATTTGATTGACTGTCGTTTCTTTTAAGTCGTTCGTGAGTTATAGCGTCGCAAACATGGTGCAAAATAAAGAGAAAATACGGCATATTTTACAGTACTACTACGATAAAGGCAAAAATTCATCTCAAGCTGCCAATAAAATTTGTGCAGTTTATGGACCCGATACAGTTTCCATTTCCATCGCACAACGATGGTTTCAACGTTTTCGTTCTGGTGTAGAGGTGGTCGAAGATGCGCCACGCTTCGGAAGGTCTGTCGTCGAAAATTGCGATAAAATCGCTGAATTGGTCGAAAGAGACCGGCATAGTAGCAGCCATAGCACCGGTCAAGAGCTGGGCATGACTCACCAAAAAAAATTTTATGAACCATTGAAAATTCAATAAAAAATACCGATATAGACTTTTTTGACAGCCTACGAGTATTATATGCTATAATGATCCGATCTGAAACATTTCTTCGGAGATTACATTGTCGATATAGTCATTGAAAATATCTCATAAAATGGAAAAGTTTTCCATACAAGCCCTTAAACCCCAACCTTTTAGGGTCTCAGCGTATAATAAGCTTACTATATGATTGAATATGCTAAGTGATTGCAGCTATTATCAAATTTTTATGCAAATTAAATTCGATTTTAAAGCATGAAATTATCTGATTATTATTCTAATTAGGTATGTGTTTCTATATTTTCGATTAGTTAGCGTGATTTCTATCGGAAACTATTTCAGTGGATATCTTTTTATAATTAGGCTTGGACTTTAACTGATTTTACTCCGAAATCTGCATATTTATATCAAAACTAGATGGTGTTTTGGCAATTTTTTTGATCTAAATGAGCACGATTTCCACGTCAGGTTTATCTCGTGCTTTTCTGAGCAAGCTTGTTTCTTATATTTTTATTTGTTTGTTTTTTGTGATTTGAGAATTTAGAATTTTTTGAATGATAATCTTCATTTAATTCAAATATACTGTAATTTTTCAACCGCAATTAAGCTACTTTAAGTAGACTGCTGAACCAAAGTTGGTTATTTTAGTAGGCCAGCATTTTAGTAGGTAGGCAAGGGATGTGACAGTTGAAGTCAAATCGTTTAAATTGACTGCCATTGTTGGGAAAAATATTACTCCATATCTTGATCGTACAATTCTGTTATATACACAATTTTTCACTTTATTTGTGAATGTACTATAATATAAATTAGATTTTAATGTAATTATTATATTTCATAAATTTACATTTCATTCTGATTCCGTTTAATAATGCATCAGTTACGTACTTTGCGCCTGAGTCATGCGACTTGCCACTTGCCTCTTATAAATATTTTTATTATTTTTCAAACCAACTCATTCATCCTTTGAATAAAAATGTATGTAATTGCAACTGTATTTTTTTATTTCTACAACGCGATAATGAATAATGCCATTTGTTTGCCATTCACTTGCGTCGTCATGCGGACTACTTGTTTTGCTGCCCCACTTAAAGGTTGCGTATACGCCCAGCAGAATGATAATGAGCGCGCACTTGCCGAGCAATTGTGACAGCGCTCGAGTGTTAGAAATAAAAAGCGATTGAGTAAGCCGCGTGCAACTGTGTGATTAGCGCTTGTTTACAAGGTGTTTGTTCAGCGGATTTTTCAATGCGTAATCAATATGTAAGCTAAGCGCGCAGGTCAGGGCCTAATGAATACCACAAAAGAACAACAACAAAAAGATAAATAAATATTAACAATAATCAGATGAAAGCTATAAAGCTTAGTGCCACTGCAGAAAACTAAGAAATACTATCATCTTCACAGCTGGCTTTGGCGGTGGAGGCCGCGAAGGGAATTAAATGCAAATTAAATAAATAGTAGCAAGCTCAGCGTTTCAGTAGCAAGTAGAGCAAAATAAAGTGCTGACACGATGTTAAACAAACAAAAACTGTTTGGAGACGCGCCACGAAGAAACCTTTGAAACTCATTTGCGATTTGAGAAGAGCCAACAAAAGCAACAATTTGAAGAAGAATTGTCTGTTTTTTGTTTGTGTTATTGGGTGAGCTCAGCGCTGCGCTCATTAGTCAAACAAGCGAGCACAGTAGACGATCGATTATCGATATTTGGAAACAAAAAAAATTAATAAAAAAAAAATTTAAGAAAATTAAATTGTAAAAATTAATTATAAAAATATTGCATTTGTATGTGTGAGTATCTAAGCATAACTGTCGTTACACATACGTAAAAATGGCAAATGAGGTGTGTAAAGCGTGAGATTGTTACGCAAGCGCTTGAGCGCTTTGACATTTAAAAGCCAGAGTTCAATATACCGTTAAATGAGGTAACGAAAGTGAAAAAAAGCGATAAACAATGAATCGGAATGCCAATTAAATGAACAAAAACAGCGCTATCAGGCAGATGTAGCAAAACAACAAAAACAAAACAATAAAAAAGCGAACAAAGAAAAACACGCAAAGGCCCAAACTGAAATGAAAAGTGTTGAAAGAGGCTCCACTTTAAAGATTTACATAAAACGCTGCACACTTGTAAATTGGCGGGCGGGAACACGATGCGAGCATCGCCCGGCAATCACGCCACATTGCAGGCGCTGCAGCGGGCGGTGACTGCGACGACGGCGGAGCACAGCGTCATCACGTGCGTGCCACATGCGTGCTGGCTTGTATCTATATAACGGTTGTTCGTGAAGCAATTGTAGATTTACAGCTTTGATTTGCAATTTTGATTTAAATCTTTTGCACACACACACACAGAGACCCTTCACTCTAACAGCAAGCTTGCGGCCTCAATAAGATGAGTTGTAGATTTGCCGATTTGTGGAAAGAATGTTAGTGTGCGTATGTGTGTGTAGGCAATGAGCGTGGAAACGCGATGCGTCACACGAAATTGAGGAAGTCAAAATTGGCGCAGTTCAAGTGCTTCTGCGAAACACATACACACATATACTATATATATATAGTATGATGAATGTATGCATCAATGTGTGTTTGGCGTGAATGACTTTTCGCGTTTCGCGCGTGAAATTTGTACTTCGAAGACCGCGAGACGCGAACTGCCACATTGATTTGGCAACAAGTGCGCCGCGCAGGCGCAACACACACCACACTTATGTAAGTCGAGGAGGCGTTGCTGTTGCGCAATGCAAAGTAGAATTGAACTGACAACAAAAAAAAAATAAAAAAAAAACCACAACCAAAACAAAAAAAAAACAACAACAAGGTTTTCAAAAACGATTGATTTCAACGGACCGCGGATAAGCGGCGAAGCGCGTTGCAGGAAGCGTTTTTCAGTGCTATGGAAACACTAAATTGGCACTTGAGTTAATTGCTGTGTTATTGTTGTCGTAAAGTTGAAAGATAAGTAAAATAGTTAGCACTCTCTTTTAGTGTTGTGATTTCAGAGTTGAATATAATTTGAGGTTATGCCTGAAGAGTCTTATTACTATGGGGCCATGAATGCCACTAAACGAAAATAATAATGATGGAACATTTAATTAAGCTTTTGGTAAATCAAAAGTTAAATGAATTGTACTGAGATATTCTTCTAGTCTTAAACTTTTGTTATAAGAAATATTTAAAATTGTCGAATTTATTATTCAGTGGATTGTATTGTCGGTAAGCAGAGCTCTGAAAATGATTTTGCTAGACCAAAATTCAATCGGTGCCTCAAAGCCAGAAGCAAGCGGAAAAAGACTGAGGGCTTAAGACAAGGTTTGGCCCGAATTTCAGTATATAGACTATCCTAAGACAGCAAGTACTCACTAAATTTTGTGACTTTTTTTTTTAAATTTGTGATTTAAGGTAAATAATCCACTAAAACGTAGTTTTGGGTGGTCTGTGGCAGTAAAAAATGTGCGTAGACACTTAGTGCCAAACATTTTGTTCATATTTCTAAAACCAGAATTTTTATAATAGTTCACAATATATATTATATATTGAGAAATTTAATTGTCAGGCGCTGTCCAATAATTAATTGGATTCCGCTTTATAACTTCTTTCCAATCTATTTTCCGGGTTTAGACCAAGTATCCTCTGGGTAGTCAAATAAGAGCCGTTTGAAGTCGAGCTAAAGTGATAAGGCGAAAGTCAAGGATTGCATCCACGGAGAGCCAACTATAAATCTAGTAGCATATTTGTTGATTAAATGTCTACAAGTAGCCAGAGGTATGTACGTTTTCCCTTTTCGGAGTCTAATCAAAGAGAAAAAATTTCGAAAACATATGTATATGTATCTCCTTTTATAAGCTTTATTATTTTCCAGTTGGCAATCTCTTTGTAAGGATAAACAATAATTTGTCTTAATGAGATGATCTATGAACCTTGATACCTTTCTTTCATCACTATCACCGGATTTCGGACATTTTAAATATGTCATGATCTGTAATTTTCTTTCATTGCATTCAGTAATGTTTATAATCTCATCATGGAAAGATATATGCAAGAAAAGCATTTACAGATTATTCAATTTTATTTTGAAAATAATCGTTCTCCAATTGATGGTCATAATAATCGTCCACATGTACTCACCATTCATGGAGTTGGGTTTGCATATACATAAAATTGTTCTCACTCAAGAACTGAGGCCACTGGACTAACGTAAGCGTCATGAATTAATCGATTCTGAGTTCGAACAACTCGAAACGAAAACGATTTTTTAAGAAAATCATTTTTTGCACTGAGGCTCACTTTCATTTGAGTGGCGCGGCAAATAAACAAAACTGTCGATTCTGATGCGACGAAAATCCACGAATTATGCATAAATAACATTACTTTTATGTAAATTGAGAGTTTGGATATTTAGTGTGTTGGAATCATTGGCTCGCCGTCAGTGAAGAGGGGTATAGATCGATGACAACCGACTTTTTATGACCGCAATTTGCAGCAGTTGATCTTGACAACATTTGGTTCTAACAAGGCGGCGCTACGTTCCACACAGCACGTGTAACCGCCGATTTATTTCGAGAAAAGTTTGGATGTTAGATACATCAAGAAATTATATCAATGAATCGCTTCCAAAAAGTTGTGATTGAACACAATTAAACTACTTATTGTGGGGTTAATTAAAGCCAATGGACTTTAGCAATTAACCAGACTCTCTTAAGCTTCTGAGGTCAATATTGAACGTGCTATTCATGACATACTATTCGAAAAGTGCTCGAGAATTGGTTTCATCGAATTCGTTCAAGCAAAAGAAGACTTGGAGGCAATTTTAATGATGTTATAATCAGAATTTATTTGTATCGAATGTATATACTTTACATTAAATTGAATTTACTTAACAATGAGTGCGTTTTTTTTTTAATCATATCACTCTTATTGGAAAACTCTGCAGATCCTGATGTTTTCGCTTCGCTCTTATCCTCAATATATTAAAAAAATTATGAAAAAATTTATCCAAGAAACTTGATACTCATATCTTGGAATCTTAAACTTTGTACCTTATTTTGTAGAATTTCTTCATAATTTGCTGCTTGGTATCAACACTAAACTCTTCCAAGCTCAACTTTCCGGAACTGACATAACACGGATAATATTTTTCTATACCAAATTTCGAAATTTTGATACATTTTCTGCAAAACGCTCTAACACAATTTTTTATGTACACTGTTTTAAAAAATATTGCTTTATCATTCCTAAATTGATCCAATATTGTCAGGAAAAATATATCCAATTACTAATGACTATCATAAAAACAAGAGCACATTCAATATTTTCATGAATAAACTCGTATTCTAGAGACAAGAAAGCATACAAATTCGGTAAGATATACAGAGCAACAAAAAATATTTTCAAATATTCATTGTATGAGTTCGTTTTATTTTAAATATGTTACTTGTATGAGAATCTCTTGAATAATATACCAGTCAAGTGCACAATTTCGCCTAGTTTACTTAAATTTCGTATAATAAAGTTTCAGAAATATTTTAGTACATCATCCCTATACACATATATTGTACTGAAGTATTGAAGTGTCTCTTAATAAAGCTTAGGCTTTGCAAGCATGAAAATGTCTTCATTATTAAAATATAGTTTATTTATAATATTTGCAGACAGATTATATTGCTTACTTATTATACAAAAAATCTTCCAAAAATAAAAATATTACAGAAAAAATTATTTTAACTCCCTTGACAGTGAAAGTTTTGGATAAGAGTCATAAACTCTTAAAGGACGCTAAGACCTCAAATAAACGAGTCGTCAAACGAAATCGAAAGTTAAATGAAATAAAAAAAAACATTTGAATATTACACTGTTTAGAGCTGACTGAAACAATCTACAATATTTAATTAGCTATGCAAACCAAACCGAACCGCAAGTGACGGTGGCATGGCTAATGGGTGATGGGCAGCAGTAAAAAAAAAACAATTAAACCAAGCAATAATCATAAAGTAAATTTGCAACGCTTTGCTTATGACAAAAATAAATAAAAAGCCAACAGTGTTGCATAACGGCACCTGTTACAAAAATACAACAATAACAACAATAACAAGACGTGCTAAAAGATAATTTCAAAAACAAAATGAGCAAACAAACTCATATTCATTCGCTGAAAAGTGCTTAAAAATCTGTTTCCCAGTGATTTCGCCGCTTTTCCTGCAAAGTTTTAGTGACAGTAATGACTTGACAGCCAAACGCTTAAGTGACAATTGTCAAATAAACGTTGGAAATAAATGTTCCTGCTTTTCCGCAACAAAAGTACGCGGAAGCGGGTAAAACTGAAAGCAAAACGAGAGAAATGTGAAATGGCAACACACACACACACACATGCACTTCTGCAGAAAAAGCCGGACTTTGCAAAAAATGGAAAAGTGAAATAAACTCAGTTAACAACAAACAGCAAATAGCAACAACAGGCAATGACAACAACAGATCATTGACCAACTAATCACCGGGCAGCGCCAACTAAACGCTGCCGAGGCGTTAGCAAGCACTCTTCAGAGCGCACACACACACATAAGCGGAGCAGCCAGCGGCAGGCAGCACTTAAGCCGATTAGCCAGTCGAGCTGATAGCCGCGCAAAATGCCCATACAAAGCGTCAATGAAATATGAAAAGCGAGCGCAGAAAGCAGGAAAACTGTAGCAAATCGCAGCGCGTGCCAAAAATAAAAACAACAACAACAACCAAAACATGGTAAGAGCTGTGATTTGCTTCCTGCAAAGCGTGGCGCGCCGGACGCAGCCATTTCGGCTTCGAAACAGGTGGCAACAACAACAGTGCGCATTTGGTGTGCAATTTTGTCGCCGTTGCCGCGTATAAAGGTTAATGATTTCTCAAAAAACTGTCTCTTTCGGTATTTGTTTTCATACGTCTACGAAGAAAACAAGAAAAGTAAAACAACAACTTCTTGCTGTTGCCTAAATTACGAAAATTGTTATGAAATTTCCTAACAACCGCACGGCAATTAGCGCCAGCGTGGACTGGACATTGGCATGCGGTGCTCCGACGCGGCTGTCTTCGGTTCGCCGCTATTACCGCGGTTTAGTCGCGTTTCTTAATTGGTGCATTCGAAATTGGGAAATGTGCGCCTGCGCAGCACATGCTTTCCGCCTCTGCGCACCGCCCGCTCCTCTCTGCGGTCGCCAGTGTGCCTAACCCAAACATTCATGTGTTACTAATTTTCCGCTTATCCAGAGCAGGCGCCGCGAGAAAATCGAAAATAAACTGTTTTTAATTGCATTTTATCTCAAATAATTGCTGTTGCCCAGCTATTTTGGTAATCGACAGTTTCTTAGCTCCAAAGTATTGTAATTTGTTGGCAACCATTTTAATTGCTTTTCCGTGTTTAAAATTAAGTCTCTTTTAAACGATTAGAGTTGGAGTTTAGTTTTTAACTTTTGAAGCGATAAATTAGATAATCTAAGTAACAATGGACATTAATTGGATGAGATTTAGTTAAAAAATACTTTATTGAATTTCATTTAAAACGAATACTACTTCTACTTTGTCTCCCTTTCGTTTACTGCTAATACTTTATTTAGATATTGGATAGTCAAAAAAGTCGTTGCAGTCGAATATCTCCAGTGCGATGAAGCACATCGTATAGTCTTGGAAAGGTGAGGTTTAAGCTTAATTTAACCAAAAAAATTTAAATTCGGGAAGTCGAAAAAAAGTTATAGCTGCTCAAAAACGAGTGAAAATTATGGAGAAATTCGCTAAATTTTGTAATCTTTGTATAAAATAGGAAAGGATGGCACGCAAGCCAACAATGAAATTTGAGAAATTTACGGAGACGATGCTGCATCATTTCATGTAGTAAAAGAATAGTTCGCTTCCGTTCTGGTCGATCTATCGTTGAAAAAGTCGATGAAATTATAGAAAAGATTGACCAAGACTGTCACCTAAGTAACCATGACATCGCTAAGGAACTTAACGTACAGCGTCAAACGGGTTTGAACTATTTGAAAAAGGCTGAATACAAATAGAAGCTCGATGTTTGGGTACCACATGAATTGCCTGTGAAAAATGGAATGGACCGGATCAAACACGACAATAATGTGCGAACATGTTCATGGTCCAAGCGTGGTAAAACTCAACAAGTGGTCGCAAAGGGATTGGAAAGGAATCATCCTTTATGAGCTCCTCCAGCCCTTGTGATAACTTTTGAATGGCATGTCCGAATTGAGTAATTCAAAAAATTATGTAGAAGTATTGAATTAGTTTCGAGTACCAAGCATTTTTTTTCAATCATATTGTACAAAAAAAGAGCTCTTAAGGGGCGTAGTTTGATTTCTGTATAATACTTAAATCAAAGAACAATTATTGTGACTCAACTATAACAGTTATGTATAAGCGGTCGCAGTATTTTTTGTAGATATTTGTATGTTCCGCGAGGTCGTAATACATTATGTTGTTCTATACTCAAAAGTACACGCGGATCACGCGATATAAGGCATTTTTTAGCTAGTTTTTTTAACCTCGGATCATGGTATTGGGGTTTTAGTAAAGATTTCTAATATTTATAGACTCTGTTCATGACAAAGAGTGTGGCTTCCTAACGGTGAAAAAGTTTTTCAAACCCGTCAAATACTTTCGGAGCCCATTCAATTCAAATAAACAATCAAATCGTTCCTCTTTAGAATACAAGAATAGCAAAGGAGCTGGATAATATGCGTGTTATTTAAGAATTTTTTTTCTGCTAGCTCTCCG